TTTGCGCGCAAATGGTAAAATATCTCATTCAAATTTCGCGCACAAATAAATTGAATATTTCATTTGAAATTTCGCGCGAGAATTCAAAACAAAATCGATATCTTCTTCATTTCATCATCTAACTCTTTGATTAAATCACTTAAAACAATTAAAAGCTAGATTTACTAATAAAACAAAGAACAAAAAATGAAATGAAGCATTTGTATGGATCTTCATGCTTTTAGGCTAAAAAGAAATTGACTGGAGGTAGTCTGTTCATGTCCTCACTACATCTATCCCAGTTAAATTTATATAACCAATGTTTTTCAGAAATAAATAATCAAATTTAATTCATAAACGTGTTTACATGTAAATCAAAAATTCAGTTAAGATATATTATTATTCAATAATAGATCTAAAACCTGTCATATCAATTATAACAAATCAAGTAACAACTAGATTACCCCGTTGAACACAACAATAAACTCTCAACAAATCACACACAATAACATTTGAAAAATGGAACAATCCATTGTATTCTATATTGAAATTTGGGACGTACTATAAGTCTTTGTGGATCAAAGTAGGCACGACGATTTGGAAACCGAGACATATTAGAAATTTGAAAGTGTTTTTTCTTTGTCTTTAATATTCACTAAGGTGTTTAAAAAAAAAATTTCACTAAGGTTTAATCTTAGGTTAAACTTGTTAAATGAAAGTGATGAAAATAATGTAATTGTAAATATATCGATTTATGTATAAGTTATATAGAGTTCAAACTATTTAATAATATTTAGTTTAACGGAAACGCTAATCTTTATATATATATGATTATTAAGTAGTCCAGCCAACCTAACCATTGAATTAACAAAATCAATCCCCCCCCCCCCCCCATGAATTTGTAACTTAATTTGATATAAATAATTTATTTCCAAAATAAATTTCCCAAAAGTGTTGACCCCAAAAAACAAATACCATAAGTAATTTACTAATTTCTATATATTTCCATAAGAATATTAAACTGATTTCGTTTAAAAATTCCAACGAAACAAATTTATTTTGGAAATGGGCCTACGCTGGGTCTTGTAAACCCGACCCGAGCCCATGAGATCCGACTATGCCCCAGCTTGGCTGCAAAAACCCCTCACACTCAATTGTCGCTTCTTCTCATCGTTTAACTCGCCGCCGTCTCAGAAAGAAGTCAGAATGGAAGATATCGAGGATTTGTTCGCCGGAGGAGGCGGTGGTGCACCACCAGGGTTCCGATTACCGGTGAATTCTGTCGGGATAAATCCGAAGACGAGTAAGATCAAACGTATTAGCTCGAAACAAGATGATATTACTGCTTCGAATCGTGATTCGCTTGCTCCACCATCTTTGAAGATTCCAGGAACTCAGGTTCATTCTCCTCCACTCTCTCTCTCTCGATTCACTTTATCGCTGCTGCGGTTTCTATATCCGTCGAACGTTTTTGACATTTCGTCTCGGATTTCTCGATGATGATTTTTGGTTGCAGACGATATACATCAAGACATTTGGATGTTCACATAATCAGGCAAGTCAATTCATATAATCTTCAATGTTCGATTGTATTTTTGGAGTTCTGAACTGTTTAGGTGTTGATTAGGGTTCTAATTGCTCATCAGAATACAATTCCCATGTTTTTGTTTACGGTAGTGACTGAGATCATGACACCTTTTAGCTGCACCATATTGAGGTGACTGATCTCACGATTGTTTGGGTTATTCAGAGTGATAGTGAGTATATGGCTGGTCAGCTCACTGCATTCGGCTATGCGTTGACAGAAGTCCCAGATGATGCTGATCTGTGGCTCATTAACACGTAAGCTTCTGTTTCGGGGTTCTGTTTACTCAATGCAATGGTTATGTTTGTTGTTCTCTAGAGATTGATGTTCATGAGTAGTGTGAATTGTAGTTCGCTTGGCCACTGTCTGGTTTGATAGCTTGATACAGTTTAAAGCACATCGTTCTGCTCAATTATAGATTTACTTTGCGCGTTCGCAATGTATCTAATATGCGTGATTTATTGCAGTTGTACAGTGAAATCCCCAAGTCAGTCTGCTATGTCTACTCTGATATCGAGAGGTAGAAGTGGGAAAAAGCCTCTTGTGATAGCCGGGTGTGTTCCTCAGGGCAGTCGTGACCTTAAAGAACTAGAAGGTATCAGTGTAGTTGGAGTCCAACAGATTGATCGTGTTGTTGAAATTGTGGAAGAAACTCTTAAGGGTCATGAAGTGAGGCTGCTTAATCGAAAGACTTTACCTGCGCTTGATCTACCAAAGGTGTGTTTAAATTTCAATTTCTGATTGCTTTCGACTATGGCTATTCCTCGCAGTGAATTACTTGAAGCCAAAAACTTGATTGTAGTGCATTTGTTTGGTCCTATAAATGTGCTTGTTCTTTCATGGCTCTTGTTCGACTCCAATGGGGTTCTTTTAGCGTGGCTTTTAAGAAGTCATTTTCCCTTGCAGGTGCGTAAGAACAATTTCATCGAAATTCTCCCCATTAATGTTGGCTGTTTAGGTTCCTGTACTTACTGCAAGACCAAGCACGCCCGTGGTCACTTAGGAAGTTACACAGTCGATAGTCTTGTAAGCAGATTTATATTCCCAGAAAAGAGTTTTAATTTGCATCTAGCTTTTTCCCCCTTCCTGTTTTTCCTCCTGAAGATTTTTTTGAGATTCTTAATTGCAGGTGGAGCGGGTAAGAACTGTAATATCTCAAGGAGTTAAGGAGATTTGGTTGAGCAGCGAGGACACTGGAGCATATGGTATTTTTTTAAAAATCTAATCTATTTTTCATATGAACTTAGGTTCAGGGGGACTACTTGATTCCGGTAGCTAAGACATAATTTGTATTCTTTTTAATGGGAGCTAATATCCCCCAAATGTTGCAGGTCGTGACATAGGAGTTAATCTTCCAATACTGCTTAATGCTATCGTTAAAGAGCTTCCTTCTGATCAAAGCACAATGCTTAGGATTGGAATGACTAATCCTCCCTTTATTCTCGAGCATTTGAAAGAAATAGCAGCCATTTTACGTCACCCATGTGTCTACACCTTTCTTCATGTCCCTGTGCAATCTGGCAGTGACTCTGTGTTGACGGTGAGTCCAGAATTGTGTAGGACTGCCGAAATATTTTTCTAGTCTTACCTGACTATTTCCCGTTGCAGGCCATGAACAGGGAATATACATTGAGTGACTTCAGGACTGTGGTAGACACCTTAACAGAACTTGTGCCAGGGATGCAAATTGCAACTGATATTATATGCGGCTTTCCTGGTTAGTACTGGACAAACTTGAATGTCTGTCCTTTTTACTGTTCTTTACTTGCTTTATATTTCACATTCGAGCCAGGCATGTTGTCTGGGAGACCATTGATTTTCCCTTTATAATACTGATTTTGTTCTTCTTTTCAAATTGTATGCTGTTAGTTGTTGTGGCGTAATAACATTGCACCTGTCATTAAAAGACATGAATAGTGTACATGAATTTGTTGGACGTGGATAGATAGATGGTCTTGTGACTTTGATTGAAGCATGTTGATTACTCATATAGTTGGGGTGTGTTGAAAATGTGTATGTCACATTTCCCAATTTCAGGTGAAACCGATGAAGATTTTTCTCAAACAGTTGAGCTTATTAAGGATTACAAGCTTTCTCAAGTTCATATTTCTCAGTTTTACCCGAGACCAGGTAAGCTCTCTGTTTTGGTTAATGTAATCTGGAATTTGAGAAATGGTCCATCAGTTGTGACATTTTCTGGTTGCGTCGCTTTATTATATAGGGACCCCAGCAGCGAAGATGAAGAAGGTACAAAGTAAAATAGTGAAACAACGAAGCCGTGAATTGACTTGTGTCTTTGAGGCCTTTGCACCTTACACTGGAATGGAGGGCAAGGTAGAGAGAATATGGATAACCGAAATAGCTACCGATGGAGTTCATTTGGTAATCCCATCCCGACCCCCATATATATATATTTACGTTTCGCACCAATCTTAATATCAAAATATAATCGAAAGCAACTCTAGTTTGTTTTTCTCGGATTTTCAATACTGTTCGATTTGAAAATTCTTACTTAGCGTGGATGAGAATTTGTAGGTTGGGCATACGAAGGGATATATACAGGTGTTAATTAGTGCACCAGAAAGTATGCTTGGGACTTCAGCAATGGCGAGGATAACATCCGTGGGGAGATGGTCAGTGTTTGGTGAGGTGATTGAGACATTAAGCTCTGCAACAACAAATGTAGAAACACAAGCGCGAGAGGAGAAAAAAACGCCTAGTTCGTCCGATAGTATCACTTGTGAGAATTGCGATTGCTCTGCTGAGAGCTGTGGAGAAGAGAAATCAGGAGAGGTTTCTGAAAAAATCTCCAAACCGGATCAAACCATGAGAGGCTTTCTTGGATGGTTTATGAGAAACAGAAATTACAAGAGAGAAGTCAAGTCA